TATATATATATATATTATAATTCTCAGATTTAAAATTTCTGTTAATAGCAAATTCTAAAGATCATAATTTTAAATAGTATCTGAAGTTTGGCTATGACTTTGCAAAATAGAATGGCATTGGATTTCCTATTAGTCTCCCAGAAAAGAGTTTGTGCCTTAATAGATAGACTTCACTGTGTTTGCATTAATAATATGCAATCTGGGTTTACAAAATGTAGTTGCTATTGAAGTACAGTGAAAGCTATTAATGCACTTATATATGGACAAACACCTCACAGAATTTGTTTACTTGGTTTAAAGATCTGCAGTCATAATTTTGTGAGTCATCTCAGTCAATTGGCTGAATATTGTTCTTAATATTTCTGTTCTACCTCCTAGTTCATTGTGGAGTGTCTGGGTCTTAAAAGTTTGCAAGTGGGCATCCAAAGTGCAGAAATTAGTCTCTGATCATCTGGAGCAACAGAAAAGAAAGAAATCCAGGAGGAAGAGGAAACTAGACTCCACATCAAATTGCGTCCATTAACGGCTGTCTCCTTTGCACAGGCCAGAAGAATAAAGATGATGCCCATAAAGTCAAGTTATTTAGCCCCTGCATCTGTAATATGATTACAATTTATATCTACCTTACAATGATTTATAAGGTTTGAAAGTAAAACTCTATATTTAAAATTTGTAAAATCATAATTAATATGGAGTTGCTGGCAATAGAAGTAATAATAATAGGAGTCATTGTTGTTGAGACTTCCTAATCTAGCTTTGATCATTCCATAAACCTGACTGAAAGATATGACCCTAGAATGTTTGCTCATTTTAAGTGCCATTATCAGTGAATTTGAGAGCACCAAGCCAAGAGATGATGTTGGGAAACCTTAGAGAAGCTGTTCCAATCAATACACTAACATTTGCTTTGTCCTCAAGCCTCACACCCATGTTGACATAGTGTCCATTAGAGGACAATGAGCTGCATCAGAAGCAATGGGCTGGAAGGAGGCGGCAGCACGCTGGATTTGGCACTTGAGGAGATAGTGTTTTAATCAATTGTCATTAATGTCTGGGCTAAGGTCCTGATGAGTCAGGGGCATTATTACACTCAGGCCCACCCTCAGAAAGCAAGCAGGCTTCCAGCTCAATAAGGAAGGTGCTCTATGGCCTCAAAAGCTTCTCACTGACCTCAAAAGTAAGTGCTGCCATCAGCAGTAATGTCACTGATTCACACTGTGTGGTGGGGAAACGTCAAATGCCATTTTCTCTAGAGAAGAGGGAAAGTCATGCAAAACTGATGAGGGCTGTCCTCATTCTCCACCTGTTAAACATGAGTACAATTTCTGCCTCTGAAATTTTTTTAGCCATTTCTTCTCCTTTCTGAAAAATGACCAAGATACAAACATTGGTTTAGGTCCTACCTACCTTTACAGTGGCCACTGCTCTCTTAACTCATTTACTTTGTCTCTGGATTGGAAAAAGGTAACAATAAAAGCTTATATACATTGTAGTTTGTCATGTAATGGGATATTGTGCAGTTGTTAACAATGGTGCTGGAATCCATGTCATAGACCTGGAAATATTAGATGACAAAATATTAAGTGAATAAAAAGCAAGATACAAACTTGTACATACAAAGTAATCCTTGTTTGTAAGAAAAATCATGTGTGCACACACACTCACATACACCCTCTGAATTAGGGATAGATACACACCAATAGAAGGAGCTCTGGTAGCATAGTGCCTAAGGCACTTGACTGCTAACCAGAAGGCTGGCAGTTCAAACCCACTAGCCACTCCTCGGAAGAAAGATGGGGCAATTTACTTCCATAATGATACTGCCTCGGAAACCCAAGGAGGGGTCTCTATGAGTCGGGTCCGACTCGACGGCACATAACAACAACAACAACACACACCAATTGATGGCATATAACAACAACACACCGATCAACACGAACCATTCCTAGGTCAGGGCTCTCTAACTCTCACTACACAGCAGTAATGGGAACTTCTGTTCTCAGTGGGGGATGGTGACTATTTTTCATTTCCTTCTTTGTGACTAGCTGTACATTCTAAGTTTTCTTCATTCAATATACATTGTTTGTGTAATTTTAAAAGTGTAAAAGGTGAAAAGAAAGACAGCCAAAAAAGGGGGGGAGGGGTTACTACAGCCATTCCTTGTAATGATTAAAAGAGGCAATACTTCAAAATCTAACAGGGAAAATTTTAAATAAAACATGGCATTCATATAATGGAACATAACTGGCACTAAACCTTCATTGTGAAGGAGCAAATCATTAGCACACTTGGCTGTTAACCTAAAGGTTGGAGGTTCAAGTCTACCTAGAGGCAACTCAGAAAAACAGCCTAGTGATGTACTTCTGAAAAAAATCAGCCAGTGGAAACCCTATGGACCACAGTTCTACTCACAGGCATGCAACAGCAACTGGTTATTGGTTAATGCAGTAGATGCTGCAGACAGGCTCACTCAACACCACTCCAGTTCTGTCCTTCCTTGTACAAGGGTATGGAAAGCTAAGGACATAAATTTTCCAAACTCTCTCATGGCTTGGATTAACACAGGTGACCTGGCTTCTGACGAACAGATGCATCAGGTGCTACTTTCACTCCCGGGTCTCAGACAGGTGTGTCCTGGGAGTCCAGGCTGACATCTGCTTCTCCATCTCATGCAAGGATTCTATAAGCCTCTAAGCTTCTGAAATAAACCCCTTTCTGCTCAAAACTGAAATACATGTAAGTGAAATGTTTATTACCATGTTGTTTGTTTTTCCTTCCTAGGAAGCAAGGTATAAATCTCTATTTACAACATTATCACAGCACTATGAAAAAAGAATGAAAACCCCTACACAGAAAAAAAGACCAAAATGAAATGCGACCAAAGTATAACAGCAGTTGTCTTTAGATACTGAGAACATGGTACCATTTGTTTATTTTGTATATTTTTGTGCTTTTCAAAGTTTTGTAATGTGAGTATTGTGTTATGAATTGAATTATGCCCCTCAAAAAGAAATATAGAAGTCCTAACACCTGTATCTATAAATATGATCTTATTTGAAGATAGATTTTTTTTATGTTAATGAGGTCATACTAGAGTAGGGTGGGTCCTACACCTAATTACTTTTTTTTTTTTAATTGTGATATGGATGCAAATTTACGAAGCAGATCCGTTTTACACACAACAGTTCATGCACATTTGGCCTCAGGGCCCCCAATTACAATCCTCAACCATAAAAAGCTGTCCTCTCATCTCCTCCCTGTGACTACCTCTTCCCTGTGTGCTTCTTATCTATGCATTCCTATCTGTCCAGGTTTCTCTCTATGCAAATGTTGCCCTTCTGACTTCTCATAGTTGATTAATCTAGGAGGTGCATCTCCATAGGATAGGTGGGTACATCTGCCTGAGGTAAGTGTTCTGTCCCCAGGTCTTTCTATTGTTTGGCTGTAGAAAGAAGTAACACCAGCTCCTGGCTCAAAGGATAACCTGGGGCTTGGCGGTTCCACAAGCCTCTATCTGACCAGTAATTCTGGTCATTTTTGTGTTTTTGAATTTTGTTCCACATTTTTCCTCCCACTCTATCCAAACCCCCCAATTTAGATCCCCACCCGAGTGGTTGGCATTGGTAACCAGACACCATCTAGTTCTGCTCTCAGGGTTGTAAAGGCTGAGGTCCCTGTGATCCATCATATCCTTGGATTTATTGTTTCAAAATGCCTTTGATTTTCTTCACTCTTCTTTGCTCCAGATGAGGGGAGACCAATAATTGCATCTTAGATGGCTATTCAATAGCTTTTGAGACTTCAGTTGCTACTTGCCAAAGTAGGATGTAGAACAATATTTTTATGTACTATATTGTGCCAATCGAACATGGTGTGCCCTGAGACTAGGGGCCCAAGCCCACAAGCCCAGTGACTCTCTCCCTCAAGGTGTTTGGTTGTCTCTGAGAAGCTACTCCAACCTTGTCCCTTGTTACTTCTGTACTGTATATGGATATTTTTGTAGCACAAGTATATATGTAGCACAAGTATATATGTAAGACTGTCTTCACCCAAATTTATCCTTGGTCTTGGGTATTCCTGTTCACCTACCCACACCTGATCTTTTCACCTATCTATGCATTCACCCATAGCCTAGTGTTTGCTGCCACTGGTAATGCAGTATTGTGCATGTAATAGCATTTGCCTCTGTTGCCTATATCTTTTGTGTATGATAAACTTAATTATTTCTGAGTGATGCCTTATAAAATAGGCAGAATGGATACAGAGAGGAAGAAAGCATTGAAGATGTGTGTACAAGCCTGGAAACCAAGGAATACCCAGGGCTACTGACAAGGAAAGACCATCCTCTAGAAGTGATTCCCTGATTTGGACTGCTGGCCTCCAAACTGTGAAAAATTAGTTCTGTTCTTTAAAGCTATCTACTTGTGGTGATTTTTAATATGGAAGCACTAGAAAACAAAGACAATATGTTATTTATAACTTTATAAACTTAGCTTTTAAAGCAATAGAGCACCATCACTTGTTACCCTCCTTAGAAGTGCAAAGAGGATTTTATTCTGCTTACTTCCACTTGTGTGTCCCAAGATGAGACAATCTTGTGACTGGAGGCTCTGCTTGTGCCAGCCTCTCATTTCTTCTCTGACTCCTCTTTTCTTCTATTGAACCTTTTCCTCTTTTCCCTATTAATATTGACATTCATTGGCACATTTTGTTATCTAGATAATTTCCTTTCCTCACATCTTCTCTACCACCTTAGATTCAATAAAAAATAAGTCATGACATTAATGATAATGAAACAATCATCATATAATAATACAAACTGAGACCTTTGGCTCAGGTTGAATAACTAGCTGGTTTATTCTACATCCCTGAATGAAACACATTTTTGTCCTTTTCTTTTCAAAGCTGTTAAGAAAGAAGAAAATCAATAGGATTTGGTTAAGGATGCAGACAGAAAAGCATCTTCATTCAGATGAGTGCAAATGGTGAGTGTTATCAGACTATGAAGGCAGATACAGGTTGCATCCATCTAACCACCGTAACAGAGTGTCAGAGTTCTGGCAGTTCAGGGTCCAGGAAGGCCTGTGTAGAGGAAAGTTAAAAGAATGAATGGGAAGGGGCTCCACGGGCTTCACAGCCCCCTCCCAGACCATTTAACCCCCACTGCTTGGCCCTTGGAGCATTTGAGATTGCCACCCCTGGTGTAAACACATTTCTCAAGGGTTTGCACAACTTGAGTTCATCTTGCTTGCTTTCATCACATCCTGGCATGAATGCTGGTGCTCCCTACCTCCTCATATCCCCTTCATCCACTACACACACAGGGATGGATTAGCCAATAAGCAAGGTAAGCACATACTTGGGCATCAACAAAACAGAAGCACTGGTTGCCCAAAGCAAAAACCCATAGATGTAAGCAGATAAGACATAGGAAAGGCACATGCTGCAGTGGAAGAGAACTAACAGGACACTAAAAGAAACTGATACCAGCTCTAGTGAGTGAGAATGTGGCAGCCAGAAATAAAGTTTACACAGGGTCATGAGGACACCCATGTACAAGGTTAATTAAACTATGAGGCCTCTACCACTTCAACATCTTTAATGACATCTATCTCCTGTAGTCCCCTCATGTGTAATTGAAATTCCTTATCTCAATGAGTTCCTTGGGAGTATAGTATTTCTTTCTAATAAACAAGAGGTGAGGGTGGGTTGTCTAGTCTAACTCTTGCTCCATTCACCCAGTATACAACTGGATCCAACAGGAGCAGTTACTGGGCAGGGACAGATTATATTGACAACATGTCTCTAATCCATTTTGAGAGAATCATCTTGTACATCCATGTCTGCTGACTCAGTAACTCCAGCTGGGTGGGCCAGCAATGATCTTTGTCATAATACAGACACAAGGGTATGCTTTTGCACATGTCCTGGTAAACAGCCAATGGCAACTCTAGTCCCAGATGACAAGCAAAATCAAGGGAACATGGCGATTCAAAATGGAGTCTCACCAGTGAGCACTACGTTTTTTCCCTCTGGCATCGAAGAACTTTAAGAACTAGATACAACAGTTTTAATTGAGCTTTTTGGTGCTCTGAACAGCTCACTGAATCAGGTTGCACCAAACACAGAAGAGCAGAATTGGAGGAAAGGCACAGGGAGATGTTTTTTAGGAAAGAGCTACTGCTGGAAGACGAACAGGCACCCGAGACAGACCATTGGAAACCTTTCTGGGGCAGTCACTGTCTGCTGGGTGGAGGCGGCCACCTAGGATCCCCGAACCAAGAACGAGATCACTTATGGCAGCTTACCAGCAACCAATACAATATTCCAGCAGGCAACGGCAGAAACCTGTCTCCAGTGGCTGATTTTGTCAGTAATTTGGGTGGTGAGGGTGCAGCAGGACACAGACACCATTGGCGAGACTCAGGTGGAGATCTCACTGGTGCACCAGAAAGGCTACCTCCCTTCCCTCCCAGCAGATTACAGAGCGGGCTTGGGTCAGACTGGGAGACACACTGCTTTTCTTTGCCACAGTTACCAGGACTGCAGGTCACTGGCAGGTACTCCCCCAAATCCACCCAGCTAAAATTGCGCACATCTTTGGCATCGCAGGTGGGCGGTATTGCAGACAAACTCCAGAGCTGACGATTGGCGGCCGGGCAGGACTGCATTACTACCACAGGCAGACGGGGCACAGAGAGCAGAAAAACCGCAGCTGAGCACGCTCACTCGAATTTTGCCCTGGAACAGTGCTTTGGCACCGTGGGGCCGTGGAGGCGGGGGCTTTGAGTGTGCATGAAGTTGGTGGAAATTTATGACCCTCTAACAATAGGAATTTTTCCTGAGTTTGAGCCGCGGTCTACCAAATGAATACATCATAAGTAAAAGCCTGCTCAGGTACTCCCCCAACTTCAACACACCTGAAATTGTGCACATCTTTGGTGCTGCAGGTGGGCGGTATCACAGACAAACTCCAGGGCTGGCCATAGGTGGTCTGGCTGGATTGCATCAGCACCACAGCCAGACAGGGCACAGAGAACAAAGAAACTGCAGCTGAGCCCAGTCCCCAAATTTTGCCTTGGAGCTGCTCTTTGGTGCTGTGGGGCTGCAGAGGTGAGGTCTTGGAGTGTGCCTGAAATTAGCGGAAATTTGTGACCCTCTAACAATAGGAATTTTTCCTGAGATTGAGCCGTGGTCTTGCAAATAAATACGTCATCAATAATACCCAGCTCAAAGCCATAGAAACCGGCCCTAGCAACACTAAGCTTTCCTTCTTCTGCTCCCACCTTCTCCACCAATACCTTCACTCATTCAATAGAAGAAACCATATTCAGCCAATTACCATAAAACCTCATGCTTCAAACTCTAAACCCTCTGTATGAAAAACAAACACATATCCACACTACACACAGTGATTCTACCATCACAAAGAAAACAGCAGAGCGACCCAACACACCTGAATCAATATTAAGATAAAACACACCAGCTTCACCTTTTCAAAATATTAAACCATAAAACCAAGACAAAACAAATCAACACATAACCAGCACCTAGAGACAACCTAAAGAAACAACATTCTACCAGATTCCAAGGGCTTAAGAAGAGGTTCTGCTTTCCAGTAACCCCAAGAACTCTCCAAACCGGTACTACACGACTGAAAAGGGTGTATTTTTTGTCCATGTGCTTTTAGTTTTTTTCCATTGTTATTCAATTGTAAGTTTTGCCTAACTGAGTGGGAGACAACAACAGTCCCCATAAGACACAACTACACCCACACCTCCTGCAACTTCACTTACTGAGCAAGAGCCAGCACCTCCTTCTTCACCAGCAGGCCAAACATAAAAAACCACCAAGAAGAGCCTGACTCATCCTTGGCTGCTCTTCACAAACAATTAACAGAGATCTTAATACAATACCACGATGCCTTGGAGACAACAGACCATCACAGTCCACACAAAGAAGCA